TTTGGGGTCTTGTGACCTAGATTGTGGTTCGTATGCTCTTGGACGAATCCTGGTAACCCTGACTAAAACACTATAATAATTCCCTAATCAAACTCACTAATACTCCTAGTCAAACAAGTACTCCTAAATTAGATAATAATAGTAAAACTAATCCCAATAAACTATCGATTACACTTCTCTTTGGACAAAAAAATCTAGTCTTTCGCCTAGGCTTCCAACGTAGATTCTATTGGTCCAACTCCAACCAACCAATCGATGCGCCATCACATATGTTATTTCATCTAAAGGAAATAGGGAACACTTGAGATCTCCAATCTGCATGAATGTTCTTTCTTTTGAAATAATATGCCAAACTCTTGTTGGAAGAGGAAGAACCCATACGAGTATACTTAATTTTCATAAAATGATGTGGGATTGTGTTTCATCAAGAGACTAAAAAATCTGAAGCAAGCTTCTTGGGGATAGTTGTATCATAAAATCCCATAAACTTCTCAGCTGTTGAAGTGAAATTTTATGCCTGCCTTTGAAGATATTAATGTCGGCTGTCTTCTAAAGTTTCTATAGTGGAATTGACGGTTAAATGGACTAGTGCTTTGTTAATTGAACCCACCACCAAAGTTGGCATCTTCCACCCTGCTGAGTGAGTGTAAGAGACTGATATTGGCAAGGTACATGATGCAAATAGTTAGAGTGTGATAAATAATCAACCGAGTTAAAAACAGTAATAGTAAGAGTATTAGGGTTTGGGAGGAAGAAGAAGAGGAAGAGAAGAGAAGGAAAGAGAGAAAGATAAATATGTGTGTGTAGGCTGTGTTGCCCTACTCCTTATTCATGATAAGCTGATATTGGGGGTGGTTACAATATTACCCTACGCTATTAATAATATAAAAATAAAAAACTCTAACCACCTGTTTCTCTATAGTTGTATGTCTAGAGAGTGTATTGATATTGTATGTATGTTGACATGGTGGTTGTCTTCATCTCAAATTATGCTGTTTTTGAACTGCTAATTTGTATTCAAGCCATTGTGATGCATAGCTACATTGTTTAGTCAATCAAACCTGTTCTCATGCACTAATGTATGTTTACATGTTTGCTTTGTAAAGTGTTCTTTGGTTTAAATCCTAGTTGAGCGGAAGGTTACATGTTCTGGAGAATAATAGTATAGTTTGTTTTACCTGTTAGCAACCTGAAGGTGGTATTCATATTTTGTTTAAGGGGCTTGGAATAAGATGGCCTTGGTTACAACTGCTGAAGTTTGTGATGCAAACCCACAGCTCATTGTGAGTGGTGAGCTGAGGGCACTCCAGCCAATTTTCGAGATATATGGTCGGCGCCCTGTTTTCTCTGGACCGATAGTTACCCTTAAAGTATTTGAAGACAATGTTTTAGTTCGTGAGTTTCTTGAGGAGAAAGGTAATGGCAGAGTTCTGGTTGTTGACGGGGGTGGGAGTTTACGATGTGCAATATTGGGTGGCAATCCTGTCGTGCAAGCTCAGAACAATGGATGGGCAGGTATAGTAGTCAATGGCTGTGTAAGGGATGTTGATGAAATAAATGGTTGTGATATTGGGGTCAGAGCTCTTGCTTCCCACCCGGTGAAAGCTAATAAGAAGGGATTGGAGAGAAACATGTTCCAATAACCATTGCTGGGACTAGAATCTGTGATGGGGAATGGCTTTATGCAGACACTGATGGCATTCTGATTTCAAGAACAGAGTTGTCTGTTTGACTATCTTTATACTTGGAGGCTGGAATTGCAGGATGACACTTGTGGCTATTAAGGTGCGCACTGGTTTTTTTTTTTTTTTTTTTCTATTTTTAATGCTTTTGGGAAAAATTCTATGTTTTCAATTTCACTGGTGGAACTTGTGAAAAAAACCTGTGTACTATCTTATATTTTGTAGTAACAGCCCAATGCTAATGTATCGTGGTTTCCAATTTAAGTTCATTGTTACCATGATTTTGTTGATGACTCTTAACTATAGCATTCAATTAGTTACATGGGCAAATTTGACCGCAAAAGGTAGTCTGGACGAACTACTTGGAAATATGAATTTCTCCAAAAACTACTGTATTGTTTGGTAATGCTTTTTCAAGTATATTTTTAAGAAATAAACAATTTTATTAAAAAGATAAGCATATTTGATTTCGCAATAGTGATATATATTACTCACCAAGACATTTGATTTACTGGAGCACCCTGCGCTTTGGTGCTCTATGTGCGAATACACTATTTTTGGGAGTGAATTTTGAATTCGTGCTCATTTTTCCCAATTCTTGAACTTAATTTTAAATTTGCGTTATCACTTGTTTAGATGCTTACTCACTATTATTTAAACATCTATTTGACAAGTTTGGATCCATGTCTAAAATATATAAATAAAATTGGAATGATATTCATTGCAAGAGATACTAAAACCCTAATTGAATGCATACATATGTATATACACACATATAAATTTTAAATAAAAATTTATTAAACTTGATACTAAAACACACTAGAAATAATGGAAATTCATAAGAGCACACAAAATCAAACATGAAACTAAATCGAGAAGCAATATTAACTTGTACCTCACGAGAGAAATTCATATTAAAAAAGTGTGTTTGTGGGTATATGAGATGAGATAGTGAATGAAATCTTAATTATGAGAAAATATAATGTGAGTTTACTTATTAAAGAGATGTGTATAGTATGAGGTGAGAGTTAGTTACTAATGAGGTGAGTATAGAAGTGAACTTAGTAATTTGATAATAAAAAATTAAATGAAGTGGAAATGAATATTTGTGGAGTAGGTATAACCCCACCCTTTGTCATTATGTATATGTGCCCCTGAAGACACTTTTTGCTAGGAATCGAACAACTAATTTGACAATCCAATTTGATTTGGCTCGAATTAATTGAATTCCAATAAAATTTTATCAAATAATCAACTGACAATTCAACACTTGATATTTAACAAAATTACATCAAATAATCAAAAAAAAAAATTACATCAAATAATCAAAATAAAAAAAATAAAAAAAATCCAACTAATCAATCATCCAATTCTAACAATTTTGATTCTATTTCATCTCAATTTTTATTCACTAATTCAACTAATTCAACAAAAAAATAAAAAAAAATAAATAGTGAATCACATAATTTTTAAAATGAAAAGCATGAAAAGAGGGGTGGGGGAAGAACTTGAATCATTGACTTATGCCACCTTATCTCAATTCTCCTCACCATTTTCATGGATCTTATAGTCCTCCACATGGAGAGAGTTAGAGAAAAGTGCAAAAATTTAAGTAATAGTATGAAGTATAGAGAAGAAGAATTTTTTTTTTAATGCAATTAATGTAATGAGCATGAAACCAGACTAAAATAAGATGAATACACCACATCAGTTTAAAGTCTAAAAATTAATCACAAGCCATCTATTCATTCTCTGGCATTTTCTCGATCATTTAGTATGCATAAAAAGAAATACTCATTCTACCACATTTCAAATTAAACTGTTTATCACCCAAATAATTTCTTACGAATTCAAATAATCTAAGATATATGTTAAGTGGACTAAGAATGTAAACCAATTCCTCAAATAATATTTTATAATTCAATTACAGTAGCAACCCGATGGTGGTGCACTCCTTGATGGCCATGGCTTAGAGGGGGGAGCAGGTGTCTTAGGCTCCAAATCCTCTTCCTCTGCCTCAACCTCCACGGGATTGAACATATATCCAACGTGTGTCTCATCTGTCGCATGGACTCGTTCCCAAGGGGTTTCTTCGGTCCCTTCCTCTGATCGGTGTCTAGGGTAGTAACTCCCTAACCCAAACATATTCGGGTGATCATGGAACTAAATGGCGGACCATTGTTCACTCTAGACTCATCGTAGGCTCTCCGTAATATCACTAATGACAAACCAGTCCCACTGGCATGTAAAAGGTAGACTCGTGCGGTAGAAAATATGGATATGTGGGTCTTCAAATCAATATTGTAGTTAGTGATCAAATTAATCATCTGATGCTTCTTTATCAAATCCTTTTGAAATCACTTTTGGCGGTTCCCACCATCAGGGTGAGGAGCTCCATACAACTCAGATGCAACATCACTAAGCCTTGATACCTCACTGTAAGGTCAATGATTGGTACCTTGGGTATGTGTAGGGTGGTAGCACTCAAGTTAGCAGAGAATTCGAATAACACTCCTTGAACATAAGTCATGAAATGCTCTTTATTGACAATGGTATTCCTATGTGTGCTCCAAACTCTCTGACTATCATCTCATTCGCAGGCTCAGGGGCCATGAATAGCTCATTCTATCCTCTTGACTCGAAATTCAAAAGGATAGTAGTGTCACTTAGCCCAGTGAAGTCCACACCTTGTTCCCCCACGACCTGATGTCTAGCAAACTGTCTCATGTATAGATCACGATAATGTGGATTTAAAAATTTACTCCTCTCATCAAAACTACATACCTCAGCTCTCTTCTTTGCTATTGGTAGCATTTTTTTAAAAAATCGGTGAAAAGGTGCAAACACAAGTGAAGATCATAGATCTAAAATTAGATCACACCTAACATCACTCTAAAATGTGTTTAGTAGCTTGGTATAGCCTTGTGTATGGAGGAAAGTAGTCAGGTTCGTGTGTGGAGTAAAGAAATGAAGAAATGGCATTTTTATCTCTGCCTGGATCGAGAATCTACGTAGGCCGCTCAAGCAATGTATGGGTCGCTCGAGCAGTCTCTGCGGCAGACCTATTCTGCTTCTAATTCACTATTCCTCCTTAAATTAAACACTTATGCCCCAAATGTCATGCATGAGTGTATGTACAACCTAAATGCTATTATATGCACGTGCATAGATGAAATAAGGATCGAAATATGTAATGCAATTTTCAATTTCGACAATCTAAATGTGAAATATCATTAATTATCACACATATTCTCATTAAATCATATACCTCCCTATTTCATCAGGTAGCACATTACTCTAAGGCATATTAAGACATATAGAACTCAATTTTCATGCATCTTAGAGCAATGACCTCTCACTTAGTTCAATTTCAATCAAACGTATTCAAATTTTGCATTTGTGATCAATTTATGTGCAACATATGTCAAACTAAACTCCAATACAATTAGAATTCCGTTAATATCAAACCATTAATAAGGCTCTACATGAAATCTTAATGCATTGTCTAAGTGAATATATAACCGATTAGTGAGTGTCCTAATCCATTTTCTTTTTGGGCACTTCCCCTATTTTTACAGCCCTTTTACTCATATGACTTCAGTTTGCACGATTGTGAATTTCGTATTTTACATGTTATGCTTCTAAACGTTGGTAGCGTAGCTCTTCAAGCTTTACATGTGAGCAAAGACATTAACTATATAATACTTTCAACAATTCAAGTGCAATTGATACTTAACTATTTATTTAATGACTCACCTTTTTAGATTTGACCACATTGAGTTCTTTTCTCACAATTGGCTCCCTGTCATTTTTTAAAGGATTAGGATTTTATTAACCTTTAGCTATTTATTCACTTATCACCAGCACTTTGAGTCATTTATCATCCAATATAACTAGACTTCCAAGTATGAAGGTTGATGTGTACTTGGTTTTAAGAATTTTCACAAAGGACACATTATCCAAGCATGCTTGGTGTTAGATCATGTTTTGGAATTGACTAATTTCGTGGAGTGTTCTATAAATTTTAACCTATTCCATGGTTATGATGCTACAATAATGAAGATCTTAGAGCATACTTGAATAGAGGAGATCATGCATTAAAGCTACATCAAAAACACTTTGTATGCATCTTCTTGCTTAGGACAACGTAATGACCTAGATATGTATCGCCCCAAGATCCACCTGGAAGGCATTACAATCTCCAACTATTCATATCATAAGAGCAACTAATAAAATCCATAATTAAAAGAAATTCCATTCATCTTCCATAATAACTAAAGCATTATCCAAAGCAAATATGCCAAACCATGGCAATTACATTCAAAAACCAAATAATATCTTGTAGCGGAATAAATAAAATATTATCCTTAACATTATCTCATAATTAATCTCTCAACCTAGAACATAAATGAAACATCTCTAAACGTCCACCTCGGAATTGACGTTTTCATCAATTTAAGCTTCCCAATTTACCTATTCATCCAATCTGAGTTCTTCCTCTAGACCGTAATCTAAAAAGATGTTGTTTATAAGAGGTGAGCACTAAGATATGTAGGAAAATCCTCCCAAGCTCGAACAAGATTTTGAAAACATATAAAATAAGTCGATTTCATTTTACAAAATATCATATATAAATTTTGAAATAAAAAAGTGACAGTTCATTAGATCTCAAGTTTACGTAGTAGGAATAAATTAAATGAAGAAGCAAAACCAACTTTCAGATAACAAATCATTACCAACACTGTATCTCTGGTATGTAGTAAGACTTAGAATGAATACACAAATTGAGAATATGTTGGACCAAACACATACCCTCAATCCTCGCAAGGATAGACTACTTTAGGAAAGACGTATACTGACGAATTGGCAGTGACGAATCCAACCTAGGAATAGTATACTAGCCCTCAGCCTTGATACTCGTGTACGAATAGTGATTTGGTCCTCGCAAGATACCAACCCCACTACGAGTGGTAGGGAACCTTCAAACCTACTCGGAGTACGAAACACATTTACCCACTCTACGATACCCGATCAACAGTCACCTATGTTCATCAAAACATCCACACAAGATATACAGTACCAAACCAATTCACCGAATCATAGGTAAACTAAGAACCATAATTCCACAAATATTCTCCAACATAACAACTCAAGAAAATATGCAAGAGATCATTACGAAATATAATTTTTTTGTTTAAAAAAAACACTAGAGTTTTTAAATCAAGAATATCGAAATATCAAGGGTAAAATCTATATTTCTTGCAAATTAGGGTTTTGATAACAAGAACGAGAGTTTTTATGGCAATTAAACGATAACCTCATTCAAGACATGATATGATTTGCAAGAAAATCAAGAGATAATAATTTCGTAACATATATATATATATATATATATATATATATATATATATATATATATATATATATATATATATATATGATTTAAAATCAAAACATACATATATATTAATTCTAACCTCAATGACCAAGTTTAGGAAGAAACCCTTACCTTGATTCCGTAGTTTGTGATGCAAACCCTAGTGTGTTTTACCTGTCTTCTATGCAAAAATTCCTTCAAGTGGTGCTCTCTCTCCTTTCTTCCTCTCAAGCTTACTAGGGTTTTCTCAGATGAACAATTGCTAAACATAGGCCTAAGAGTCATTCCCTAGGTATTTATAATGCCCAAAGTGGAGAAAACACTCAACAAAGATCGTCCAAGTTCTACCCAATGCGTCTAGACGCGTCTGACTTTTTGTCTAGATTTTCGATGACATTCTGACCCAGTTAGAAGCTTATTCACTACATTTTCATGAAATACACTTTTGTTGCCCTTAAAGTCTAGTTTATACTGTAAAAATTTCAGGTCCATAGGACACTGGGGTTAAAAGTTATGATTTAAATACTAAGGTAGTGTCAAATTTTCATTCTACCAAAATCCTCTTCAAAATAGGTTTTAACTCTAGAATGCTTCTAAAATTCTAATACAACTCATATAACCTCTTCCAATTTATTTCAACCTTCCGAATTCAATGGAAACCTTATTTTGACCTAAAAATATTTATAAAATTACTACCACCTTTCTCAAACTTAATCATCTCTAAAACTCAATTTACCTTGAAAATCAAACACGCTTGAAACTCAAACTTTATAATCACTATTTTAACAATGATTCTAAGTTTCTACCATCATTTTATTCATCTTAGGAGAAATTTTAAGTTAATAATATATATATTTTTTAATTTTAATACGGGGTATTACAAGATATCTAAGATAATCCCTTGATTTAATAGACTTAAGAGGATTAGTGTTAAAATAAAATCGATATTAGATCCGATAATGACTCGTAGGTGTTCTTAAAATAATTGTTTTTTTTCTAAAACTCTTGTGCATTTTGAAAATATAGAATTGAACCATCATTGGATTCTTCTTAAGCAATTTACCTGGTTTCAGGCTTAAAAAACTAGTAGGGACCGCCCTATGCTCATTAGCCTTTTCTAGAGCGATCTTTTCATAACTTAAGGGAAAGATGGGCAAAGGTTAAACGGAGGATAATGGGGGTTTCCCTTTAAGGTCTCTTGAACAGTACCCTGGTTGCTCGAGAAGTCCTACTTTACTAGGTCAGTTTGCAATTTATTTTTCATTCCATTGACCATTTCCTTATGATCGCCCTCCCACAGTTTGAGCGGTCATTCGCGAATTTGTATTTTATTGTTTACCAAGATTATCCTTATTCCGAATCTATAAATAGGGAAAGACTTTCCTACACCTACAGTAAGCCTTTTTTTGAATATTTTGAGAGACAAATCTTATCTTTTATCTAGAGAGTTTTTATCACAACCCTAGATCCCTAAGACCTAAGGCTACTAACTAGTGATTCTTATCCAATTTCACAACTTGGTAAAGAATATTTTGATTGGTTGAAGACCAAACCCATTGGAGTGTGCATATTGAGGATCGTTGGTGCGACCAAGATTGCTTGAGGCCTAAAGGATCCATTGTGGTGGTGAATCCAAATGAAGCTATCCAGGATGTTAGAGAGGCACCTCGGCAGAAAGGCTTATTTTAAGAAGGGAGCATCTAACCATGGTATTGATTGATATATAAGACTCGAGTACT